AAAAAAAAAAAAAAAAAAAAAAAAAAAAAAAAGAACCACTTTGCTCTCATCCCCCTGGCAAGAGGTAGGGATGATGAGGAATGTCATTTTTACTCCAGGCAGCCTTAAGCCTAGCTAAAAGTTGGGGATTCTATTAGAGAAAGGACAAACAGACGTTGTGGCTTATACCCAAGCAGGGACAGTTAGGTACTTTGATTTTCTTTCTTGGGAACTTGAACTGGATAGAAAATTGGCCACTTTATTGTGGGAAGGAAGGTGAGAACATGCACCAGCCTGAAGATAACCCCACTCTCAGCTGACGTTTCCTAGAGCTCCTTGGGAGTTTGAAAGACTTTCATGTTCCAGGGACCTTAAGGTCAGCGGTATCAACTATTAACTAATAGCTTCTTGAGGACCGGACTGAGGTGCTTTCCGGGACTGAGATTCTGCTTTTCAATATTTCGAGGTGCTGCATGGAATAAACATCCCTGGTTACTTGAGGTAATCTCTGCCCCCCGACAGTGGGTCGTGGAGGCGCAGTACAGGGGAAGCGACGTGGTGGGGTGAACATCCTTGGAACGCGGGCGCCTTCTCTCCGAGGGAGCAGAGCAGCCAGGGAGGAATCCTGGGTGGGTAGCGGGGCGCCGCCCTCTGCCAGTTACAGTTGGCTGGGAGTGAATTTCCCTCTCGAGGCGGGGTTTAGCGCGGCCGAACACGTCCTCCGGGGTTGGAGGCCAGAGTACACACTGAGGAAGGGGCGGCCCCTGGAGCGTCCAGGAAAGAGCTCTCCGAGAGGCCGAGCGCTGCTAATCACCCGGCACGGCCGTGCGCCATCGCAGAGATGCAGGGCCGGGGGCAAAGGCGGACCCGCGGGGTCCTCCGGGAAGCGTCCTCCGGTGACGCGCCGCCGCGCCCTGCGGAGGATTCTGGGAGTTGTAGTTCATTAGCGAGTTCGGGCTGGCGCGTCTCGGCACGGCCGGCTCCTAGATACCTTTGTCGCGAGCCGGGCCTCCACAGCGTTGTTCGCGAGGTCGAGCTTGGGCTCCAAGAGGGCTGAGCGCGTGTCCTTCGGAGTCTGAGTGGCCGGAAGGAGGGCGGTGGAGGGCCTCCGGGTGGAGGACACCGGGCTGCCCAGCTATAGGGTCGCGCGCGTGTTCCCGGGCCTCGGGGTGGACTAGAGCTGTGGACCCCCGGCCCCTAGTGCGTTCGTCGCGCCATTTTCCCACGGTCGTCACTTACGCCGGCGGGGAGGAAGTCACCATGGAGCCTAAGGGCAGAGGTGAGAATTTCAGAAGGATGCCGCCTGCTGGAGAGAAAAAAGGAGAAAGGCTGCCCTCTGGCTGGGGCAAGCTCTGGAAGGACAAGCATCACATCTTCTCTGGGAGGGAGCCCATTCCTACCAGCTGGTCTCATGTTGGGGTTTAAGGGGAGCCCGCTACCTACATTGCCCTGCTGGTCTTTAGGATGATGTATACCTCCTTTGCCACCCCCCGCCAAATCACCATATCTGACAATTTGGCTTTTCATAATGACTTTCTTTTGTTCTCACAGGAACCTCGTAAGGCGGTTATGGAGGAAGGAGACTATCAAATAGACCCATCTGGCAGATGGGGAAAGTGAGGATTCGAGAAGTCACAGGATTTATTTAGAGTACTTGGATTTTTTTCTCCACAGGCCCATTGCTTTTCTGAGAAAGCCAGTTTTGTATCTGAAAAGCCAATGTTCAAAAAGAATTTAACTAGTCTTTCATCCTGTGAGCCTGGAATAGAACAGGAGTGACTCATTGAGGCACGGATTGACACACCGAGACTTTGAGATTATTTTGACGACACTCAGCAGATGAGAAATGGAAATATGTATTTAAGTGTCCAGGATCTCCTAGCAGAGTTCTACTGGAGTTTAAGGGCAGAGGAGCATAGGAGGAACCTGAGGCAGCCATGGTCATGACTGTCTTGTATAAGAGATGTTGTGGGATTGTCCCTTGGTTCCCTGTGTTGACTCTTCTCAGGTGACAAGTAGTTGTGTGTGGCAGTTTCTGTGAGTGTACTGCAAGCAAGAGTAATCGCTGGGGCTCCTATTTCCACTTCTAGGGTCACTTTCTGAGAATTCAGACCTTCCCCATGCTGGAAACCCAAAAGAAAATGGCCTGACCTCTGTGCTGCTGACCCCTGCATACCAGGTGGGTTTAAATTTCTTCTTTTTTTTTCTGTTCTCAAAACATGAATATGGTTTCTAGCATTGTTATGGACTTGCTCAGCCGTGGTTCCTAGACCACTGGCTTCATCCTAATAAAATAATGAGCAGTGAACCTGATAGTAAATGCTCCTCGCAGGGACAGAACTTTCCCTCCTGGCATCACTTCTCTATCCACTTAGTGCTAGGTGCACACTTAAAAGCTCTTCAGTGCTGTGATTGGCCTCCTGGCGAGATGCAAAGGAATAAAAGCCAGTTGCCTCTGCCTTGTGAAGTTTACTGAGGAAATAAGATACAGATAAGTAAAATAGTTAAACAGCAAGAAGAAATATATAGAGAGAGAGAGAGAAAGAGAGAAATTACTAGTACAGACAAGTCATAAAAGACCTTAGAAGAGGTTTTCCATCCCCTAGAGTATTTGGGGGTAAAATGCTGGGATAAAAGCTGCATTTTGGAAGACAAGAGAGAGTAGGTAGTTGGAAAATAGAATATAGGAATATTCCAAGAGAGAACAGCTTTGACAAAAGTCTCCAAGTGATGAGAGAGTCAGAGGTCTTCAGGGAGAATGTGTGTCACTGTGAGTGAGCTGGAGTGTGGTGAGGGAAGTGTAGGCGTGTTGTAGCCAGACCACAGGAAAAATCCACACAGGATCTTATTCCAAAGGCAGATGAGGCCCCGTGAAAGTTTTTAGAGGCCCAGCAAGATGAAACATGCCGTGAATGATTGGAGAGAGAAGATTAGTCAAGATACTTCTGTAGGATCTGGTCTAGGATACTGGGAGAATGGCAGACCCGTGGTAAAGGCATTGGGACCGCCTGTCAAGCTCAGACCTGCCTCACAGCATCCAGGTGCTGACAGTGCATGCAAAACGCTAGGAAGAAACACCAGTACTGATTCTGATCTGAATTGGTAGATCTCTTTCAGAGGGAAGAGGAGAGAGAGTCAGTAGCATCTGCTGGATGGTAGATGTGGTCTACCTGTGCCCTCAAGCCCCCCACATACTCACACTGAGCAGCAGCTCCTTAAATGAGTTTGATTGCTGAGGTTTTCTCAGAACTAAAGTCTGAAAGGAACTGCTAGGCAGTCTGTTACTGCTGCGTTGATTGTAAAGAAAAGAGACTGTACAAATTACATGGCTTGTGTTGAGCACTCCTGAGGCATGTGGCCTTAAGGGACCATAACTTAAATAAAAAGGGAAGTTATTTCATAGTTCAAGTATTAGAAGAAGATTTAAATTATTTTGAGCAAGGGATTTTCAAAGTAAGTTCTCTTAACTTTGTGTCATTATGTGAATTATTTTACCAGTTGGTTTTGGAGGATATGTACACATATATACGTGTGTGTGTATACATATAACATGTATGTATGTATATACATATATATTCAGAGGCTATGGCAAAAGCGGTGTTTCAAAGAAAGCCATGACTGGTTCATTTGCTAGCATCCCAGGGACTGGTCTGTTTCAATGTGACTCCATTACATTGAAGTTGTATAGAAAAAATTTTTAATAGAGTTAGAAAAATTATTAGACATTTGTTTTATCAGCAGTAAACAGATTCAGCTCTAGATTCAAAGGAGCATTACCCACCCTGCGCACTCTCCCTACATTTTAGTAGACGGTCTAAACTTTGTGCCTGTCATCTAGGTCAAGGTAAGGTAAAGTAAACACTCCTGTAATGTTTTCAATGTTTGATACACTTCTGTTCCCCTCCCACCTCTGTTCCCAGGCACACTTTTATAGAACACCCCATTTAAACTTAATTCTTGTTTCTATTAATTCTTGTTCAAGTGTTTCACCTTCTTTTAATTCTTTGACAAATATTCACCGTGTTCGGGCTCTGTGCCAAAGACTAGGGCTGCTTCACTGGGAAAAATTAAACCTGGCCTCTACTCTCTTCGAGGTTAGCTTCTAATGGGACAGACAGACGTTAATCACAAAGTCCCCTTGCTGTATGCATAGCCCAAGAGGAGGGAAGGAACATGGTGCTACCACCCAGAGAATCAGGGAAGGCTTCCCTGAGGAGGTAACCCCTGAGCTGAGATCCGAAGTGTGAGTAGGATTAAAATAGCTGAAAGGATGGGGAAAGGGGGGAACATTCAGGGACAGAAAGCAGTGTGTGTAAAGGGGCAGAAGGGAGGGAGTATGACGTACATTTCAGGCAGCCAAAGGGCAGCCGGCAGCTGGAGCACAGAGAATGCAGGAGAAGCAGTGTATGATGGGGTAGAGAGGAGATGGTGGAGGTGGGGGGAGAGTGGTCAGACTGACTGGGGAGAAATGGCAAGAACACTTTCGGAACTCTGATAATTTGGGCTTGAAATCTGGTTTGTTTGTTTGTTTTTGCGGTACGCAGGCCTCTCACTGCTGTGGCCTCTCCCGCTGAGGAGCACAGGCTCTGGACGCGCAGGTTCAGCGGCTATGGCTCACGGGCCCAGCCGCTCCGTGGCATGTGGGATCTTCCCGGACCGGGCCACGAACCCGTGTCTCCTGCATCGGCAGGCGGACTCTCAACCACTGCGCCACCCAGGAAGCCCTTGAAATACTGTTTTACAAATCTATATACTGTGACGTGTGTAGCAAACACCTTAATTTTTAGAAAATATATTGGACTGATTTTATTCTCAAAGGAAAACGAGAGAGAAAAATAATTCATATTTCTTGAATCTCTTGTATTTTAAAAACATACCATAAAGAAAATACTTAATTCATAATTATATTTTCTCCACTTTCCCATATCTAAATAGTAAGGATTTCTGTAGTTCTATAATTTAACTTTTCACCACGTAAACTAGTAACTTGGTACCTTCAGATTTTACCCTGCAGGTGTTCTTTCCCACTTGCAGGTTACATGCGATTCTGATGCGTGGAGGTAAGGAGCAAGTCTGTGACTCCAGATACACCAGAGAATCTTAGTATTGGAAGGGATGGTAGAGGTCGTTTTGTCTAACCTTCCTGTCCTTCCTGTCTTTCTCCTCTTATGCCATCTGTTTGAGTCCTTCCCAGAGGCTTCTGGAAGGATGTCCCTTGGTGAGCACTTGATGTGTTCGGTTTTTCAGGAGTCGATGATCAGGGATATGGCTGAGGCTCTCACCCAGTGGGGGCAGCTGAACACTCCTCAAGGAGATGTGCCTGAGAAGCATAGGAATCTGGTCTTGCTGGGTAAGCATCACCCCGGCCCCCACCCAGTGTGGGAATTTACCCAGTGTGGTACCTTTGCTTCCTCAGTTCCTAGGAGCTCTGACGTTCTTAGATTCAAAGATTCTTAATCCCTGTGTAAAGTCTGATGCAGGCAATTTCTTCTTTTTGTTTCTGGATATAAGTTTAAACCTTCTGGAGTCAGAAGTGGACACCTTTATATCGTAATTGCCTAGGCGGTAGCGTCCTTCTTCCCTACTCCCTGACCAAGGATGTTGAGACAAAGTTCTAATAAAAACACCTCTTAAGAGATGGGTGCTTATTCTTTTAATAGGGAGAGGTAAAAACAAGTGATTCAATTATTCTGAACTCAAATAGACCCCATATCAATCTTCCTACCTTCTTCTGAACGCTGTTGAGGGAGAAATCCAGAACCGACCTTTCTCTCTCTTATACTGACTGTCTTTTCTAACGACCAAGGAGCTAACACTGAGCTCTTTACCAGACTCCTTTTTCTTTCCCCACAAACAGGGCTTCCAATTTCCAAGCCTGATGTAATCTCTCAGTTAGAGTGTGGGGAGGAGCTGGAGAGAGAAGTCTCAAAAGCAACTAGTCCAGGTGAGTGATTTTTGGAAACAGTAAACATAAAACCCAGATGGTCAGTGGGAAAAGCATCTTTGCAATGCTTGTGGAGGAGCCTTTCCAGATTTCGCTAGACCCATGGAAAGCTTGAAGTGAACTGCCTTTCTCCTGGGCCATACTCCAGCTCTGTGTATGCTGACCTGTTATAGAGTCATAATTTTATTTTTTAGAAAATCAGTACTTTCCACCCTTTCAAACCAATTCTTTTTCCCAAATAAGGTGAAATAATGTTTGTTAATAATTTGTTTGGGTGCAAGGCTCTAAACCAGGTTTTTAATTTTATTTATTTATTTATATATATATTTTTTGCGTTACGCGGGCCTCTCACTGTTGTAGCCTCTCCCGTTGTGGAGCACAGGCTCCGGATGTGCAGGCTCAGTGGCCATGGCTCACAGGCCCAGCCGCTCTGCGACATGTGGGATCCTCCCGGACTGGGGCACGAACCCGTGTACCCTACATCAGCAGGCGGACTCCCAACCACTGCGCCACCAGGGAAGCCCCAGGTTTTTTCATGTATGTTATTTTATCTCTGCAGGATAACGTGACTTTTTGTCTCAGAACAATGACTATAAATTGATCTCTGAGTCGTCCCTTGCCTTCTTCTCTAAGTGGAGGTAGCATAGCATAGTGGTTAAGAGTGCAGACTTTGGAACCACTCTTCCTGGGTTCAAAGCCAATGTGAACTACTTACTAGCTGTGTGAGCTTTAACAGATTGATTATTCTTTCTGTGACTCAAATTCCCCAACTGTAAAATGTGGGTAACGATAGCACTTAACTCATAGGGTTGTTGTGAGGATCAAATGAAATAATCCAAGGGAATGCTTAGAACAGTACGTGGCTATGTGCTAAGCAAATGATAGCTAATGATTAAGTCCTGCTAACTTTTCTTTTGAAAGATGTCATGGATTTGAGCCTATCACTTTTGTCAAACTGGATACTGCAATAGACTACCAGCTAATTATACTTTCTTTAGCTTTTAATTATACTTTCTTATCCTTGTCTAATTAGGCAGCATAATACTGCCAGATTTCCCACAGTGAGTTGTTTACTCTGCCAGTTCTCTATTCCTCTACCTGCCTTCAAGACCTACCTGCCTAGTCATTTTATCTTCTCTGTTCAACTTGAACCCTTAACACGAGACAGGCAAGTCTCTGACTATCCTCCGCTAACCATGTGTTTTCTGCAAATGTTTGGGGCTTCAGTTCTTCCACTCCCCTTAGCTAAAAGTCCATTTGCCTTTAAGCTGTTTCTACCTATTTATCCTTACAATCCTAGCCACCTCCTTGATTATGATACGTCATTGAGAAGGTTATATCATATTGATTTATTTCACGTAGAGTCATGGTTGGAATGGATGGTAATGACCATTTAAGCCTAGAATACTTAAAAATTTCTAACAGTGCAGGTTTTTCCCCCAAACTCTTCCTAAGAAGCCTGGAATTTGGGGACAGGTGTCCTGACAGGTTGGGGACCAATCTGAGCATGTGGGGATTTGACCTTCCCCTCCCCACACACTACTTATTTTTTTGTAAAGGTTGGTTCTGTTTTGCTGTTTCCAATTTGTTTGGTGTGGCGCAATCAGAGATGATCAGTTGCTTTTTAATTACTAATTGAATTTGTAGATCTGAACTACCTTGAATGCTAGCTTCTAGGATTTGTGTCTCACCTTGAGACAGTGGAACCAACAGAGATTTTTGTGTAAGAGGTATGCTTTTAAAAGGTTAGTCTGCCAGCAGTGATTGGGACATATTGGAACAAGAAAAGATTGGTGGTAAGATCAGCTATTGATGGACATTCTCAGGGCATGATGCTCTGGTGAGGTGGTGACAGTGGGCAATCCATGGGAGACCATCATTTTCTGATCCCAGTCCAGTCTCCACCAGACCCTGTTTCTTATCTGCTATTTCCCCCATCACCTGTGTTTAGTCTTGTTCTGTTATTCTTTCTCATTTCCTCCCCTGCTGGATACAGGAATGTTGAGCACTGCTTTGCCCAGTCATCTTTCTTTTCTCATGCTCTCTCAAGGTTGCAGGGCTATTTTTGAGAACTTACAAGTTCCTCTGTCCCCTGTAAGCATTTTTTGTTTGTTTCATTATTTTCCTACCACGGCAATTATTTTTCTCTCAGTGTAGGAAATGATACATTGTATTTTTGTTTCTTTCACACTGGGATACAGGACTGGAATGCAAGGAGCTAACTCCAGAGCAGGACATTTCTGAAGAAGAATTAGCCCCTGTTAACACTGGGGTGTTAATAGAGAGATTTCCAAAGGAAAGTTCCAGTGAATGTGAGGATTCTTTAGAGAGTCAGCAGGAAAACCATGAGAAATATTTAATACAAGAGGTTGTCCCTCAGAAGAAACCTTCTGGGGAGAGAAGTTACCAGTGTAATGGATTTGGAAGAAATTTTAGTCGGAGGACATTCCTTGTTCAGCAGCAAGGAGAGCGACGACACAATTGTGATTCATTTAAAAAGAACTTGAAACAAAATTCAGATCTAATGAAACATGAGAAAATTTGTGCAGAAAAGAAGCCTTGGAAGTGTAATGAGTGTGAAAAGGCCTTTAGTTACTACTCAGCTTTTGTCTTACATCAGAGAATTCACACAGGAGAAAAACCCTACGAATGTAATGAATGTGGTAAATCCTTTAGTCAGAGCATACACCTTACTCTACACCAGAGAATTCATACGGGAGAGAAACCTTACAAATGTCACGAATGTGGGAAAGCCTTCAGTCACCGCTCAGCCCTTATTCGGCATCATATAATCCATACTGGGGAGAAACCCTATGAATGCAATGCATGTGGGAAGGCCTTTAATCAGAGTTCATACCTCACTCAACATCAGCGAATTCATACTGGAGAGAAACCTTATGAGTGTAATGAATGTGGAAAGGCCTTCAGCCAAAGCACATTCCTTACCCAGCATCAGGTCATTCACACTGGAGAAAAACCCTATAAGTGTAATGAATGTAGGAAAGCGTTTAGTGATCGTTCAGGCCTTATTCAGCACCAGAGAACTCATACTGGGGAGAGGCCTTATGAGTGTAATGAATGTGGGAAAGCCTTTGGCTACTGTTCAGCCCTGACTCAACACCAGAGAACTCACACTGGGGAGAAACCCTACAAATGCAATGATTGTGCCAAAGCCTTCAGTGACCGCTCAGCCCTTATTCGTCATCAGAGAACACACACTGGAGAGAAACCTTACAAGTGTAAGGATTGTGGAAAAGCTTTCAGCCAGAGTTCATCTCTTACAAAGCATCAGAAAACTCACACTGGAGAAAAACCTTATAAGTGTAAGGAATGTGGAAAAGCTTTCAGCCAGAATTCATCCCTTTCTCAACATCAGAAAACTCATTCTGGAGGGAAAACCAAGGAATATGGAAAAGCCTTTAGTGAGCACTCAGCCTTTGGCCAGCAAAAGAGAATTCATACTGGATAAAGGTCCTGTACATGTAGTATGTTCAGAACATATTTATTGAACAATTACTATACATGCTGTGAGGGCTACAAAGGAATTTAAGACTGTGTTACAAAAAAAGATCTAATTGAGAAGTCATTGTTGATATGGGACATAGCTTATTTAGAGTGTGAAAGAAGGGTTTTACATTTTTTTAAGTAACAGAGGAAGTTGTGTATTTCCCTGGGGAGAGAGGGAAATTATTTCCAACACCCTAATGTGTATGTAAGCTACCAAATCCTTGCGAGAGAAATAGGGTGTGCCATGATGGAAAGAGGCCATCTTGGCTGGGGTAGGTGGTCTCATAATGCTAAGGAGATGAAGTTTTGAAGGGAAATTGCAAGGGTGGAAATAAGAGGTTGGCAATTCACAATGAACCTGTACAGGGTTGAGAGTGGTGGTGGAAGGGACGTTGTCCTTGGTCTTAAATACCAGAGCACTTAGGAGGTGGATAGAAAGCATAGACAAAAAGAGCTTGGGGATGAACTCAAATGTTGATTGAGATAACTACTTAAATGAGTACCAAGAACCAGGAAAAATATCAGTCAGGCTTGTTAGTCACAAAGTTTCCATCTTGAAGCCAAGGAATATTGGCCTGGCAAGTCCACTTCTGCACTTTTGGTCTTTTAAACAATGTTCATTGAGAAGTTACCTACTAAGAATCACAACTCCAAGGGTCAAGGCTGACAACCTAGAAAGGGAGATTACAGAAGGGACCTCTGATGCTTTCAGTCTGTTTTAAGGTGAGTTACCTGAGAATGTGCATATTTATAAAAATTTGCCTCAGTTGTATGTAGTTTGTACCCTAAGCTTTTTCATACCATCGTTTAATTTACCTGTAGACCTGAACTGACGCGGCATATTAGGTAGTAAACAACTTGAAAACACCAGAAACACCTTTCATCATTTTACTCTTAAATACAGGCAGGTGACATCTTTATATTTGTTTTTTTTTTTTTCACTGAAACTTTGAAGATTATTTTTGCAAACATTTTGAGTACTGTGTTTTTAGTGGTTACAAGTTCGACTGTGATGTCTTAGTGTGCACTTCTTTCAGTTTATCCTGCTTTCTGTGCTTCTTGAGGCTGTAGGTATGTGTCTCTTGCCAGATTTGAGGGATTCTCAGCCACCATTTCTTTGAATACATCTTCAGCCTCCACCCCCACCCCTTCTAACAAATGTTAGACCTGTAGTCTCACAGGTTCCTGAGACTCTGTTTACTTACTTTTTGGTACGTTTTTATCTTAGTCTGCATGGGTTGCCATAGCAAAGTGCCATAGCTTGGGTGACTCAAACAAAGGAAATTAATTTCTCACAGTTTTGGAGGCTGGAAGTCCAAGATCAAGGTGTTGGCCTTGGTCTCTGATGAGGGCTCTCTTCCTGGCTTGCAGATGGCTGCCTTCTTGCTGTGTCCTCATATGGCCTTTTCTTGGTTCCTGAGCATGGAAGGAGAGAAAGAAAGTGCTTGCTCTCTTCCTTTTGTAAAACCACCAGTCCTGTCCGATTAGGAATCCAGCCTTATGACCTCATGTAGCCTTAATTTACTCTGAAAAACCCTATCTCCAAATACAGTCTCATTGGAAGTTAGCACTTCAACATATGAATTTTGGTGGGATACAATTCAGTCCATAGCATTTCAGTCCCTGGCCCCCCAAATTCATGTTCTCACATGCAAAAATATATCCAGTCCCTCCCAACAACCCCCAAAGTCTTAACTTATTGCAGCATCAACTCTGAAGTCAAGTTCAAAGTCTCACCTAAATATCACATAAATGAGATATGGGTGAGATTTGAAGTATCATTCATCCTGAGGCAAAATTCATGTCCAGCTGTGAACCTGTGACACCAGATAGGTGACGTGCTTCCAAAATTCGATTGTGGGGCAGCATAAGATAGACATTCTCACTCCAAAAAGGAGAAATAGGAAAGAAGGAAGGGGTGATGGATCCCAAGCAAGCCCAAAACCTAGCAAAGCAAGCTCCATGAGATCTTCAGGTGAGGATAAACCTCTCTGGCTTTGTGTCCCACCTTCCAGACCTGCTCGTGCAGCCATCCTGCTGCCAAGCTCTGCTGGGCAGCCCTGCCTCCAAACTGTGGCTGGAGGCCGTCTGGCCTGTTGAAACCAAGCTGATGTCCCCACCCTTTGAAACTGAGGAGGCAGCCTCAAGATCTCTGAGTCGACTTCAGAGTCATTCTTCCCTTTCTTGAAGCACGGCGCACATTTGCAGCTGAATAAGCTCTATTGTCTGGCCCTATAGGATCTAAGAAGTCCAACAGCCTTCCTTCATTTGTCTGGTTTTTCTATCCCCTTTAGTCCCAGCTGGCTGTGTTTCTGCTGGTATAGTCCCATTTCTGTCCCTGGCTTCTGCTGAGATGGCTGATTAAATCTACGAGTCACACCCATGATCTCTTTATCAAATGGTTGCTCAGCCTCGCCCTTAGTGTTCTCTTCAGAACAAGTTTTCTCGTGTTTTGCAACATGGATAGAATTTACCAAACCTCCAAGTTCTAGTTCCTTTTGGGTTAACAATTACTTTTTCATTCATCTCTCTTCTCTCGAATATTTTTTTTCTTGGCTGGGTTGGGTCTTCGTTGTTGCGCACAGGCTTTCTCTAGTCGGGGCGAGTGGGGGCTATTCTTCGTTGCGGTGCGTGGGCTACTCATTGTGGTGGCTTCTCTTGTTGCTGAACGTGGGCTCTAGATGCGTGGGCTTCAGTAGTTGTGGCGCATGGGCTCAGGAGATTTGGCACACGGGCTTAGTTGTTCTGCGGCATGTGGGATCTTCCTGGACCAGGGCTCAAACCAGTGTCCCCTGCACTGGCAGGCAGATTCTTAACCACTGCGCCACCAGGGAGGTCCCTCTCCTCTCGAATTTTGCTCTAATCAGTAAGGCACACCCAAGCTGTGCCTTCAATACTTTGCTTGGAAATCTCCTATGTTGAACATCCAGTTTCATTGCTCACACGTTCTACATTCCACAGAACACTGGAACACAGTGCAGTGAAGTTCTTTGCCACTTTACAACAAGGATTGCCTTTCTTCCCGTTTCCAATGATGTGTTCCTCATTTCTGATGTCTGAGACCTCACCAGAATGGCCTTTAATTCTAGGAGGCACCTCAAAACTCTTCCAGCCTCTTTCCGTAACCCAGTTCCAAAGCTACTTCCACATTCTTAGGTATTTGTTAGAGCAGCATCCCTTTTCTAGGTACCAAAACCTGTCTTAATCTGTTTGTGTTCCAAACCAAAATATAGGCAGACCTTGTTTTATTGTGTTTCATTTTATTTGCACTTTGCAGGTATTGTGGGATTGTTTTTTTGTTTTTTGTTTTCCAAATGTAAGGTTTGTGGCAACCTGGTGTTGAGCAACTCTATTGGTGCCATTTTTCCAACAGCATTTTCTCAGTTCATGTCTCTGTCATATTTTGGTAATTCTCTCAATATTTCAAACTTTTTCATTATTATTATATGTGTTATGGTGATCTGTGAACAGTGGTCTTTGATGTTACTAGTATGATTCGCTGAAAGTTAGCATCTTTTAGCAATAAAGTTTTTTTTGTGTGTGTGTGTGGTATGCGGGCCTCTCACTGTTGTGGCCTCTCCCATTGCGGAGCACAGGCTCCAGATGCGCAGACTCAGCGGCCATGGCTCACGGGCCCAGCCGCTCCGCGGCATGTGGGATCTTCCCAGACCAGGGCACAAACCCATGTCCCCTGCATCGGCAGGCGGACTCTCAACCACTGCGCCACCAGGGAAGCCTGCAATAAAGTATTTTTAAATCGAGGTACGTACTTGTTTTTTAGACATAATACCATTGCACACTCGATAGACTACAGTGTAAAGATAACTTTTATATGCACTGGGAAACCAAAAAACAGTATGTGACTCACCGTTGCGATATTCACTTTATTGTGGCTTTCTGGAACTGAACACACAATATCTCTGAGGTGTGCCTGTACCATAGGCTGGGTGGCTCAAACAGAGATTTAATTCTCACAGCTCTGGAGCTGGGAAGGCTAAGATGATTTGGTTTCAAGGGGCCAGCAGATTTGGTTTCTGGTAGGAGCTCTCTTCCTGGCTTGCAGGTGGCCACCTTCTTGCTGTGTTTTCATGGCCTTCCCTCAGTGCATGGGTGTGGAGAGAGAGAATTCTTTCCCCCTCTTCTTAGAAGTCTACCAGTCTTATCACATTAAGACCCCATACTTATAACCTCATTTAACCTAATTACCCTCTAAAAGCCCCATCTCTAAATACAGTCATATTGGGGGTTAGGGCTTCAACATATAAATTCAGGGGACACAGTTCAGTCCATAGCAATTTTCTCTTTGTTGTTCAGATTGGGTATTTTCTATTGTTCTGTCTTCAAGTTCACTGGTTCCTCTGTCCCTTCCATTCTACTATTTGAGCCCATTATTGGGTTTTATGTCAGTTATTGTGTTTTTCACTTGCATTTGATTCTCTATTCTGTTTCTCTGCTGAGACTTCTATTTTTTAAATTTGGATCAGGTGTGTTTGTAATTGCTCACCGAGGCATTGTTATAATGACTGTTTTAAAATCCTTGTCAGGTAATTCTCACATCTGTGCCATGTCAGTGTTGGCATCTGTGGATCATCTCACTCAGGTTGAGATTTTCCTGGTTCTTTGTGTGATGAGTGATTTTCCATTGAAATCTGGACATTTTGAGTATTATGAGGCCCTGACTCTCTTTGGAGCTTCCGTCTGGGCAGCCTTCCTCTGACACTGCTCTGGTGGAAAGGGTTGGGGGGACACTGCCTTATGACTATAAGTTGGTGTTGGAAGTCCCGGTCCATCATTGGCCTCTGTTGATACGTGGGACAGGGATCCTCAGTACTGCTGGGCTGGGGGTGCGGAGGAGTTCCAGCTCCCCACGTGGCCCCCACTGACACCACACCAGTAAGGAAGGGGAGAGACGTCTTGTCTCTGAGTAGGGTTGGAAGCCTAGTCTCCCCAGAGGGTCCCCGGTGACACTGCTGAGGTGGGATGGGGGAGGGGTTGGCTTTGACAATCCTGTCCCTCACTTGACCTTCTCTGACACCACTCAGGGTGGGGATGCGGCATTGAGGAGCCTCATTACAGCCTGTGAGGGTGGATATGTAGGCTCCCCACTTGGCCTTTGTTGGTTGTGGATAAGAGCACAGTTTTTTTCCATGGTCTCTGGCCGGAGTAGGGTGGTTCTTGTCTAAAAGTTTTCTGTCTTGCTAAGCTGCTCTTTTTTCCTAGTCCTTTGGCTAGAATGAGCAGACTTTTCTTGGGCTTTTTTTTTTGGTCTGTGCTTGTTGTTGTTTCTGGATTTCCTGCTTCTTCAGAACCCAGTCTGGGACAAATGAAGCAAAAAGAAAACCCAAGGAGCCCTGCGTTGTTCTTCAGGTCCAGAGGTCCCCAGCCTGTCTGTATTCTCTCCACCTTTCAGAATCTTATGTTGTTTTCTATAGAACGTGCAGGGGTTTTAGGTATACTTAGAGAAATAGGGGAAATCACCACTCCATCTTTCCCATGACATCCTCCGTCTGACACTGAAATGGCAGGTCAAGTTGCATCAAAGGTTTGTAGCTTACACCGGGCATTTGTAACCAAGTAAGGACCAAGAGGAATGCTCACTTGTTCCCCAAAGATACATTGCCTAGTTGGAAGGTAGAAACTATCAGGCTGCAAGCGTCATCTAGCTTTGAGGGAACTATAGTTTTTAAGTTGAGGAAATACCAGCATTTAATTGTAGTTTACAAATTCAAGAAGGAAGAATAGATATGACTAAGAATATAAACTATGAGGTTAAGCATTTTTATTTGTATCTTTGCTCCAAGAACATGTGAGGACCACTGGAGAATTAGATTCAGAATTGTGTGTTTTTTTCCTATTATGTATTATTTATGTGTGTATATCACAGAGAACCAACAAAATAAAGAAGGATAATAATTGGAATTTGGGACAAATCACGTCATCCTTTTAAATCTGTTTCTTCATTTATATATATTTTAAAATGTCATACCTCCTTGAGAGTGGCTAGATTAGGTAGATAATGGATGCAGAGTGATTTGTAAGCTATCAAGTACTGTATGACTATTAGGTATTGGTATAGCTGTTTATATGACCTGCCATCATGTAAGCTTTATGATGGTGTAGCCCAATAAAATGATGATGAATATAACATGTGTCTTTTAATCTTTTATTTAAAAAAGTTTTTTTTAATGAACAGTAGTAAAATCTGCATCTTTTGAGATGATTGTATGGTTTTCTGTAATCTGTTAATGTGGTAAATTACATTGATAAATTTTCTAATGTTAAGGAACACTTGCATTCCTGGGATTTACACAACTTAATGATTTTCCCTACCCTTGGAAGAGTTTGTGCTCCTTGAATGTTTAGTTACATT